TAATACTTTATTCAAATAGAGTTTTTTCTCTATCAAGCACCGCTCTTTTTCAATGTAGTGAATAATTTAATATAATAAAATAATTTAATTTAAGTTGCAGTGTACTAAATTAAAGTATAATCAGAATAAACAAAACAAAAACAGTTTTATATTAAAAGCATTTTACAATAAAACCTTACCAATATTTTTTCGTATTATAACTTATTGACGTCGTTCACAATAACAGCAGAAACTGATACGAATAATAATACTCGTCCTTTCATTATATAGTTAATTGTGTGTATGTGATTTTTTTATTCCCACTATTCCACTTCATTTTCCTTTTTTTGCATTCTTCCCACATGAAATAAATGTGACTATATAACTCTACACATGACGGCGTAATACAATCCTGCGGTTATATTAACCAGTCAGGATGCAAAGTCACATTTGAGTTGCTTGCTCAAATCTTCTGCTGCACACCTACAAGTTAACGCACGAAGTGAAAAGTACGAAATAATACACACATGAGCATATAGGAAGTTAACTCGTACATACACAACGTATAACACGCCATAACGGAGACTCATTCTCCTCAGTTTAACCCACCATACATCTACATACACATATGCTGAGAATACAACACTGAAAAAAAATAAAAAGGCTTTCAGTGTTGAATTTGAGACATCAAAAAGTCGCTTTTTTATTGGAATTTAATGCTGGGATATGTTGCTCATACCACCGCACACCACCCTAAACACACACACAAATAACAACTTTTTTATATAATTTGAAATGATAGTTGAAAAGATAATCTTAACTCCGCCCATTTTGAATGAAATTCACCACTTGCTTAAATTTTTCAATATTCACATGCGCGAATTCTCCGTATTTCAATTACAGCAAATGAGAAACGAAGGTTAATTTTAACAGTTTTTTACTCAACACGCTCTTTTAGTACGTATCCTTTTATGTTAATAACATTGCCGTAACAGCAGCACTAAGTGTATCCATTGGTGTTGTTATTATTGTTGTTTTTTTTATCAGCTGATAGTGAAATTGATTTTTCTATGCTTTGTCACGTGCTAGTAAAAGTAACATGATTTGATGTTTTAAATAATATTTACTTGATTGATGCAATTTCAACAGTAGCGGATTTCTGTGAATTTTTTTATCGGAAAACTTCTCACATTATGAAGCATTCACATATAACTTTTACTAACTACAGTCCATCACATCATCTACATTCTAAAAACTGCTTCAGTATCTCTAACACTACTTACTGTTCTACTTAAACTTAGTACAAAAAATTATTGAGAAGATCACCTAAGCCGAAGTTGAATTTAAACGACTATCGGTTGGGTTGTATATTTCATACAACTGTTGTGACTCTAGTTCCCAATTTTTTTTGTTTGACAAAAATGGCTGAAAACAGTTTTAAGGTAACTAATAGCATATTCACACTACGAGTATCTCATTTAAGCACTTGCTCATTTATATTAACAAGGACACGTTCTCATTATAATGAACTTATTCATGCTGCTGATAGAACTTTTATAAACTTTTATAAGATTTACTTAATAATATATCACACAAAAAATTAAATATATAATTGATATATTAAATCATTTATATACATTTCATATATCAATTACATATTTAACTCATGAAAACAGAGATTTTATTAAATACTTTCTTCCACAGTGCCTTTGTTTACAGTTCAGCTGTTGTTTGTTTACATTTTACATATGAAATATGGTATATGACAAAGAATTTAACTTTTGGTAATTTACCTTGTGGGTAATTTATTTTTAAAGCTTGCATTTGTCAATTTCCGACTTAAATGAACTGATTTATTGATAATGAGCTCATTTATATGAAAGATTTCTGTGTGGTGAATCATCGTCATTGGTGGTGATAAGACAGTGTCAGTGTGCTATAAGCACGGTTGCCACTTATGGTACTTTAGTACCAAAATTGGTACTTTTTTTTCCGTTTGGTACTCTGGCACTCATGTTCAAAAAATGGTACATTTTCGGCGACCCAACTTTATTGTGGATATTGTATTGTTTTATACTTTTTGTACATTTTATATAAATTGTATTTTCTTATAAAAAGACAATAGAAAAATTTTGGACCTTTTTTTTACAGAAATGGTACCTTTTTAAACCAATTTTGGTACAGAAAAAAATTTTCAAGTGGCAACCGTGGCTATAAGCAATATACATATGATAAAGAAAAAAGTTTATAAATGAAAATGATCATACTAAAAACGATGTATTTAAAATTGTGAATTTCGCGAAATATTAAGTAGTTTATGATATAATTATATCGATATATTAAGTTCTTATAACAGAACATATCTCACCGTACCATCGACTAAAATGTGAGCAATATATGTGTTACACCACTTCGAAATGCGGCAAAATATAACAAATCTTTTGCTAAATTTTCTAATTTATATTCAAAACAACACTACTCTCTTACTCTATAAAAGGAAATTTTAAAATTGTCACAACTGCTTTTAATTCATTTTTCCTTTTAACTTTTAATATTACATATTAAGCATTTATATTTATAAAAATTTAATTTGCCTTGAATTCTGCAAATATTATGAAGACCTATTTATTGTGAAAACATTGACTTTAATAGATTGTTACAATTGTGCCAATATGTTAGTAAGAGACTTCACCGAGAGCCCTTACCAAAAGACTTCAGCAACCTAATGTGTTTTATAGACTTTCGAAGCAGCCTAATACACCTAATATATGTAAACATAACAGTGAGTATTTTTTTTATGAGACGAAGTCTTGCGACCTAGTCACAAGTTCGAAGACAATCACAAGTTTGAAGTTGTGAAAGACTGTTTATATGCGAACTATCGTGAACACCAAAATTGACATGAGTATAGAGACTCAACGAAGAATCACTCTTGCCACGTACGTTCCAAGTAGGTAAATCCGAAATAAAACCCTCTTTCGACAAACAAACATCATGCTAGTTACGTTCCATTCCCTTTGCGCTTTCTAAATTAAGTTATCGTGTCATACAGAATATTTTATAATGAAACAATATGCAAAATAATATTGCAGGTTGAATAATTTGTTGACAATGAGTTGTGACTGTACTTTATGTGTGTAAGAAATAACGGCACCTTGTATACACAAATTATTCAACTTGCATTCAATTATTAGAAATAGAAAGTACGTTGTACGATGTACGTTGTCCAATAAAGTTACAAAAACAGAATTTACTCGTGTTTTAATTTCGACACATAATTTGCTCTAAAAGTCTATTATTATGCCCTTCCTGCTGTGTGGTGCAGAAGCTTGATCAATTACCAACAGTAATGAGAAGGCATTAGGAGCATTTGAGAGAAAAATTCTTCAGAAGACCTATGATCACTTACGCGTTGCCAACGAGTATTAAATTAGTTGGAACGATAAGCTAGTTGTATGAGCTATACCGCAACATTGACAAAGTTAAGCGCATAAAAATTCAGCGAGTTTGGTGGCTTGATCATGTCGTGTTAATGGAAGAAAATACTTCGCTTATAAAAGTAGAGGACCTCCAAATCTTCTGTGGAAAGTTTGGACGTCACCAACGATATGCGACAGTGAAGTAACAGTGACAATTACTAACAACAGCAAAAATCCAATATAGGTATGTATTAAAGTTTACAGTCAAAAGGTTAAATTAAATAGGTTGAGGAGGTTTTCACAAAAAATACACTTGGCTGTAGAATATATGGGTCAAAAAATATAATTCTGAATGCTCTATTAATGCTCTGAAATATACAATCACTTCATTTACGGCTTTACTTATATTTTGAGGAACTCCTGCTTGCGAAAGATCTGTGGAAGGATTTTCTTAGAAACCAAACAGTTCTATGGGAATAAAACTCTATTTTATAACAAGTAATTTAAACCTAAACTCCTTTATAATTGTGTTTCTGATAGTCATGCTGTTTCATCCACCATTAGAAAACTTTAAGCTTATCAAAATAGAGCAATGAGACGCGTTTTGCAAAGTATGTCAGACAAGACGGTGTATATAAGGACTTGAGAGTTAAGAGTACGCAAAAATACATTAAAGGTAAAGCGCTAAGATTATTTAATTTTGTGTATGTAACACTAATTCGAAACTGACATCTCTTAGAAGAAATGGAATATATATTCCGTCAAAAATATATATTAGAATTCACACTATACTTTTGGTAAATCACCTATAGAACTCGTTGTCGTAATTCAATGGAGCACTTGTTACAGTTGATCACCCAAGTGATCACAAGTACTATCGAATAAATAGTAGATGGTTTAGACACTAACACGCGTTTCATCAAACAAAGATGACTAAATACTAAATATAGTCATCTAAATATAGTCATTAACTAAATATATAATTTACTACTGTTCATAATTCTTCTATAAAAAAAAATGTTCTTTTTCTTATTCAATTGGAACTTAATCTTAATATATCAATAATAAAATTCATTGTCATTATGTATATTATAGCATATCCACTTAAAGTAAATTATATATTTATAAACACATACATCTATAATTAATGTAAAAACCACAATTTTGAATTCAATCATATTTAAAATGTAATAAAATAATGGAATTACAAAAAATTACTAACAAATTATGGCTTACAGCAATCGTTAATCGAATGGATAATTACAATAATTTTTTTTTAAATACCCCAAGCAAATAATTAATCTAATCAATACATTACCAAAGATATATTTGACAAAAAAATAAATTTCACTTATATATATATATATATGTATATATATTAATTTTAAAATACTCGACCACATAGAATTTCTTTTATATTCACTGCCAATTGAATATCATTATCATTAGTCATTATCAACTGTGAATAATTATGACAATTATTTCACGATTAACTAATTACCGATATTCGGTATTCGAATTATTTAAAGAACATGAAAATATAGATATTTTGGTTAAATTATATTACCAAAATTTAAGCAATTCTATAATACGACAGTCAATATGTCCGGTCGAGCAAATTCAAAAATTCGCGCTGAAATTATTTTACTTTTGCTTTTAATGTACTTTAAAGAGGTGACTTTTATATTAAATAACATTAAGGCTTTATTTGTACATAAAATTTAATTTTATTTAAAATTTGCAGTATGAAGAGTTTCAAATAAAGCTGAGCTCAATACGTTGCCAGAACCTAGATCCTACCTTCCTTAATATCTCCAAATGCATAACGAAAGCTGTTTCCCGCAGCATTACAGAGACTACATTGAATGTCACTTTACTTCAAGGGCCTGTAAATAATGTTACCGTAAGTACTTAATGAAATCGAAACTAATGAAAATTAATTACATTAAAATTAATAAGTCATATTATTCTTTAATTATATAAACAAATTTATATATTTTATATATGTGTACATATACAGATTTTACATTAAACGTATATTCGAAAAAGAATTCCGAATTTCCAACTTGATCCCTGTGTAGTACCTAAGACTTCATTGAGATAAATAGAACTCGCTCTTGTTTAAATAGTAGTATATATTTGTAATATTGGATTATTAGTAAATCATCAAATTATATTAAATTAACATTTTTCAAACAGAAATACAGTTATTTAATAATATACATTTCATATGTGTTAAAATATTCACTTAATTTTCAACTCTTTTCAATGGTAATGCATCAATAAAAATGGTTTACCTTAACTTTATGTCTCACTCGTTTGAGCTCATGTGTTCCTAATGCAAAAGGAAAATCATTTTAGATTTTCCTTCAAAGACTTCGTTTTCAAGGTTAATTTATTTAATTTTAATGTATTCGGTATTATAAGTACCCAACAGTATTTGTATGAATGTATGAATTTTTATATATATTTAGCCCAAATAAATTCGAATAGGTTCGATTCTGATTAGTAAATTAAAAGTTTCAAATATAAATTATTTTTATTAATAAATAAAAGTTTTTTTCGATCCATTTTTTTCGATTCTGCAAAAGCATTCAATGCTTTCAAAACCCGAATACGTGTGGAAGGTGCTTGAAGCTAAAGGTATCCTATTTCAAATCGTCAATATTATTAAAAGCAACTATGAAGGAGCTAATCGCAGAGTATAACACAATGGTGCACTGAACGATTCAATCCCATTATCCAGTAGTATAAGTCATGGTTGTGCGCTTTCACCACTTCTTTTCATAACGGCACTAGATGCAGTGCTGGAGACCCTGAACAAGAAGTAGATTATACGATTTAGAATATGCCGATGATGTGGTATTGAGCTTTAAGGTGCACGCTAATATGCAAGCCCAAATTACAGATCTCTCAACTAAGTCTTAACACTCAACTAAGTGGATCTTAACACTAATATTGCTATGACAAAATCCATGCTCATCAACAGATCTAACATCTCACAGCTCACAGTAAGTAATACAATCGCGAAAAACGTCGATAAGCTTGAATATCTCGGCAGCACTATAGCAACAGAAGGTGGTACTTCAGAAGACGTAGCCAATAGACTTCGGAAAACCATATATGCCTTCGCTAATCGCAAAAAAATTTGGCGTTCAACAAACTTTCATTACGATATTCGAAGCCTGCTTCAAAAGTGTACTGTTATATGGATCTGAATCGTGGTTTATTACTGCCGCGATCTCACAAAAACTGCAGACATACGTTAACAGATACCTTCGCGATATCCTAAACATTTGGTGGCCGAGAACTGTACGCAATAAGCGGCTATGGGAAATTACAGGTCAGCAACCGATTGAAAAGCAGATAATGAAGCGGAAATATGGCTGACTGAGACATTACCCTGCGTAAATCGGTTAGTGAAATTGCACACTCAGCATTAGAACGGAATCCACATGGTAGAAGAATTCGTTGACGGCTAAACAGTACATGGAGAAGATCGATAAGAAGGGAAACGACCAACGAGCTCAGAGCATTAGCGCGTAATAGGGGTGTGTGGAAAGCGTTTGTGAATAGACTAAGTTCTTGAATTATATTTGTAATTTATAGAACATGCCATAATAATAATTTTTTCCGGTAACTAACTTTGGTAAGGCGCAAGAAAAAGTCATATTCAACCAACTTTACAATTTGATTCATCAAATGATGATTTCAATTTGAACTCTTCCTTCTTCTTAGGTAATATTCCTAATAACGTTAAATTAAATATTCCTAATAACGTTAAAATATCTCTAAATGTTGTTTTGAAATCATTGCACGGTCGTTCTATTTGTACACAGAAAACACACCTTGCACTTATCCAGTCGATTTGGTTCAATAAAATAAAAATCCGTGTGGTATGCCTGTGGCTTCAATAAAAAAAGTGCCTGTAGGTACTTCCATTCGTTGATAAATGAAATTCTGGCATAGTACTATCAAATAACACAATCATCTCATAAATTTATTTGAAACTATGCCTTCGCCAACTTTGGTACAGATATGGTGTTAATATTGGGATTTAGTTCGGCTTTGATTTTGTTTTGGCTTTGTCTTTCATATACTTCCAATAAAACCAATTTTTTTTCATTCAAATTCAAATTGAAAAAGTTGTCCATATTTTTAAAATTTATAAAAAATTCGTTGCCATCAACTGCTAGTAGATGTCATCCACTCCTTCCTTCAGAGAGATATGTGAGTTATTTAGAAAAATTATGAATTTCTTGTGGGGCACCTATGTGAAAACAAAGATATAAATTTTAGAAGTAAACTTTATATAAGATTTTCTTATGATTCTAGTTACTTTTCAACAAAACATATTTGATCTGAATTATAGCCACTTATAACTATTCAAAGAATTATATTATTTGAAAAGCTATTTTCTATAGTATTCAAATCGTTCCAGAATTTTATTTATTTTTTTTTATCAATATATATAAATATTTTTTTTTTTTTTTGTATGTTTTTTTAGGTAAAGCTAAAATTTATGAAGAAATCAACGGACTATAATTTGTATTATGGCGAACAAACTATTAATATCTGCAAATTTTTAAGCTATCGCACACAATATCCAATATCGAATTATCTTTTCGATTTATTACAACCCTATTCCAATGCAAATCATACCTGTCCGTATGAAGTATGTATTACATTAATTAATATTCTTAATAAGTATATATATATATATATATATGTATAAAATATTTTCTTACTTAAGGGTGCTATTATATTGGACCGATTCCGCATAGATAACAACAAATTAACTTGGCTTCCAATACCAACAGGTGAATTTGCATTCTTCTCAGAATGGTATACGGATAATAAGCTTCGATTGGATCTAAGATTTTATTTCTCGTTTGTAGAATAATAAAATTTCATTATTAAGTTGTCTTAATATTTTAATGAAACAAATAAAATGTAAAATAATTAACACAAAAATTATAAGTAAATAACTTATAAATAAAGCATAAATAGGCACAACTTATTATTTAATTCATTTAGTATTTTTAATTGATCTAAAGTGACCACTCTATGGAGACAATGCAAGTAAAAGAATAAAAGCACACAGGAAATAAGTTCAGATCTCACTAAGATCCAGTCTAAAAACAGGCTTTAAAAACATTTGAAAAAGTACTTGATGGCTCTGACTCAAGAATAGAGCTTCAAGCAGTTCAATAAATTAGCAAACATGTCTACTAAGAAATCTACATAGCTATATAACTCCATATGTTACCACCAGGGATCATAAAGTTTAGGTGTTGCATATAGCCATCTAAATTCCCCTAACCTAACTGAACCTCAGAGACAATGGTATCGACATATGATTATAGATTAATTGAAGAAACTATTATAATACGCAATGAATAATTTATGATACAAAGAGCTATTTCAACATATACTTAAGAAAATGCATAAATACATTTTAGTTGAATAATCACTATTGCTATGAAAATCATATAAATTCAATGAATGCAAATATAATCGACAATTTTCCAATGAGGTGTTTTAAACCATTGTCATCAAAAGTAACAATAATAATTAACATGAATATACACAGGTGTTATGTAGATCTGTGTGGAAGGTGATGTATTACAATAAGGTAGTGATATTACTATATCTGTACCAAAGTAGTAATGATATTGCCCATGATGCACTTCTCATAGCGTCTGCTTCCTCTAGCTGATCTTATGCTGAGCGTATGTCAACTGTATGTTCACACATTTTTTATATGTACATATCAGAGGCGAGGCGTCGAATGGTTCAGAGTGTTCACTGAACACCTTAACAAAGCTTCCTTTTTAGATCTTTTTTTTATTAGGTAAATAATCTCGCTATTTTGCTACTTAAAATTTTTTATAATAGCTTTTTCAAACATATTAACATAAACTCAAAACGTATAATATAAACAAAATCACACATACATATGTTAGTTACACCCAACATTACTCATAATTAATAAAAGAGAAAATACATTCCTCTTAAAATATACTAAGGTTCAGAATAAAAACTGCACCGCGCTGCTTACATAGCATGCAAATGAAATAACATTCACATTGAGACTATGTTCAGTATTGAATAAACACAAAACATACAAACAAATATAAAAATATAAAGAGAAAACAAATCCCGCAAAATATATACGTAAAATAATCATATGTTCACTCTTAAATTAATGTGTGCAAGCAGTTCAATAAAAAAAGTGAACCTCCAATGTTATGCAAAGTAAATACAAAAGAGAAAAGAAATGACTGAGCGAAAATCGCTTTACATTTGACTAGAGGTTCAGTCGACTAAACTGAACCCTAAGTTCATACAAAGCGTGCAAGTACAATCAAAGTCACGGTTGTCGTTTTATATGGGCAAATGGTTCAGTAAAAAAACTGAACTGGGCATAGTAAATACAAAGTAAAAGAGTAAATGAACGCATGAAAGTTTATTACTCTTATGTAGAGGTTGGAAATAAACCAAAAACAAAGTCATTATTGCAATTTTATATTAGCAAATGTTAAAAGTAAAGAAAAAAATTAAAGAATTTTGAAGTGAAAAATAATATTTAGAAATGGATAAATGTGTGATTAAAGATTTGATTCAAATATCATTTTTTAAACGATCTTCTGAAAAAAGGTTTTAATTCGTTTTCCTACAGCTATTTACCGTAAAAATCAGTGGTTCACAGGCTGCGAATATTCAAACAAATTGTTTTGTTGGTCTTGTGCGCTTTTTGCTTGTAGAAAGGACAAAACTCAGGAGTAAGGGGAATATGTTATTGTTGGAATTCAGTTTTGATCAAATTGTGAACACCTTGCCAATAAGCTGACGCCTCGCTACTGGTACATATATATATATATATATGTATATATAAATGTTTTTTTTCTTATATATACATATATAGAAATGTTTATTTAATAGACAAATTATTTATTTAATACAAAAATCAAAATGTATGAATATAATAATGTTAATGAGTTAATACGTCTTTTTAAACGCTCAGTTCTTTTCGGACTACTTTTGCTTAGTACTTTTTCTCGGTGTTGCCAGATCTTACCCTTCCTGCATACATATATATATATAACAATTTCATTATTTTTTTTATTTGTAAATCAAATTTAAAACTAAATGGATCTCTTCGTTTGTTTTGGTTTACAAGATCGCGGCGAAAGCTCTGTATTAATTCATAACTTCAGAGTTTAGATCTGGATGTCAAGTTCGAAATAATAGCAAACATCAGCAATGAACCCATTTTATTCGGGGTGGCATGGAAGGCGATATTATCATATCGCAGATTTTGGGTACAGATTTTTTAACAAATTTCGGGTTAATATTAGACATTAAGGTTAGACGATTAATGGGTTCTCTCACGCCTTTACCAGTTTCAGGCACCATGAAAAGTATAGAGATACACTCAATATTTTCTTTGAAGGCCACCTTGAAAATGAGATGAGATGAGTTCCACAAATTACTGGATTAAAGTATGGTGCGACAAGCGAATACCATACCAAATTTTCTGAATTCGTCAAACTCAATTTCGATCTTATTATCTACACATTTTGTTTTTTATAATTTCGATCATTGGGTTTTCCAAAGAAGAAACTTAATATCAGCAAACGTTGACATTGAATTAAAAGAGTGTCAGCAAGCGCAATTAGGCAATTATGAAGAATAGTGTGAATTTGGAGTTCCGGCGTTGTAGTTCCTCGGTTGGTTATCACATCAAAATCAAACATAGATTAAACTTTATTACTTTAGTAAGTTTTGTAATCAAAAGTTTTGGCAAAACCGTCTTTCATTTAATACAACACATCTATATATGTAATTAGATTTATTAATCACACATATTAATTTTTTGTACTTCATAAAATTTATATAAACGCTAGTATATTTTGCCACATGGAAGTCTGAATAAGTACATCATCCTGGATGACAGACAGGTATACATATACATATCATGTAGCAGATACAAAAGAGTTACTTATTGAACTCCTCCATCTCTTCTGTTGCAAATAGATGCGATATACATAAATATATGTATAGATGAAATAATCTAATTTTATTTAAAAATATACACAAAATAGATGTTTGTCTGTTTGCGTACTTTTATTTTATTAAAACTTCATTAAATCAATAAAAGAATAGAGTACGCCATACGACATACGATATTGCAAATAATTTTGTCATAACTAAAAGTATTTGGCGAGTATGCTTTATTGAAATCAATGTTAGAAGTAATTTATGACACTGAAATATAGAATTTATTTAAAATTCGCAAATAATACAAATAAATAAATATATTTAAAAAGTTTACCTCCTAAAAACCGTGCAGATACTCGTCCTCATTATCTGATTTTTGTTGAATTTTTAAATTAAATTGAATTTCCTGACCAGCAACGCAGCTAAATAAATAAAAAAAATTAATTAAAAAATTATTTTATTGCTCAAATGATAGTTAAAAATGATAATTCATTTGTGATACGCACTGATACGTATCGCTGCATTCATAAGGACAAATATTGCTACATTTTTTTGAACGTTTTTGCGAGCTTCGCTTAAAATATCCTTGTAGCGGTCATCAGAGTCACGGATTCTAGCAGGATTAGATTGCATGATTCCAGGGAAGTATAAATTATGTTAATTTTGTGGAGATGTGCAACGTTATGTGAGATGCTCAACTTTTCATTTTTTTATGTATCTGTAATGTCAATTCGACAAATATTGCCATATAATTCTTTTCCTGTACAAATATACATGCATCACCAATAATAGTGAAAACATCATTTACATGGTGCATTTGAAGACACATACTGATGTAAATATGATGTTTTGAATAAAATCAATTTGATTTTCAGATACAAACCAATGTACTGGCAATTCACTAGCTATGTTCAAGACATTTTCTCCATTATTTATTTTTCTTGAACCGAACAGTGCACACGCATCAGAGGTTTGAAGAGAAGCGCTTCTTCAGGTCGAAATCCGATAACGAGTGGTAATTGCGAAATAAGTTAGTAAGTACTTCATGAGAAAGTTTTACAAATATTGCCATATTTATAGACGATTATTTCAACTCAATTTTTACGACTGATTGCGACGAACCTTGAATAGCACGTTTGGAGATAATATGAAATCCAATTTAACTGGGGGTCAGGGATAACCCCCCCAGTCATAAAAGAGTAAAAGTGCACAATAGCACTAACTCAAACCACAACAACAACAACAATTTTGTGATAAAAAATTAGAAAAACAATCGTTGGGAAAGCAAACAGACTCATTTAAGAAGTATCTGTGTCCAAAAAGGTGATGATATGATGCTATGAATTACAGTTATCCTGCAACGTCAGATGTCTCCATGAACTATCTGTGGTATATTCTCATTGAAAACTGGGAAGATCAATTTCATTTCCTATTGGACAAAAATCGGAGAAAATTCTCTACAGATCACAATTGGAGAAAACAAAGCTATTTTGGGGGTGGTTCACCGAAAATCCTGGGAAAAAGTATTTGACTTTAGAAAGCTATTACCTTTTCGTGCAACTAAGGAGACACATTAACCAATAGTCTGAAATGTAAGTAAATTGCTTAGAAGACAATGAACTATTAACCAAGTGAGTGGAACAGTTTCGTTGTTTTATGATGATTAAGAGCACATCAATAAATCAATAGCTACTTGATTTATGCATGTGACAATTTTAGACAAATGACATCAACCATTATGAAGTTTATTTTGTCTTTATTGACAAAAGTATGATATATATATAAAATACAAAGTACTAGCTATATAATATTTAATACTATTTAGTTATATTAAAGATTAAACGATATTAAATATTAAATAATATTTCTATCGATTCTATAATTAATATTATATTTATA